AGTCAAGCTTGTAATAACAGAAGAACCCTTTTTGGTTTAATACAGAACCATTTTCAGAAAGGTTCTGTATATAACCACCCACAACACATTATCCGTCAAGCTGAAGAACCACTTCACCATGCAAAGCATGCAAATGGTTCTATGTGGAACTCATGGTTCTACGTAAAGGCATTGCTTTTACTAAAGAACTCTTGAAGAACCATCTTTTTTAAGAGTGTAGCACGCACTCGCAAGCGTGCACGAGGCTTAAGTTAGCTTCTCACTGGAATTTTCCGTTCCACCTTAAATGGTGCAGCTGTTTCCGAGCAGCCCGAGGCGCCAGTATGAAACTGCTGCACCATTTAAGGTGGAACGGAAAGTTCCAATGAGAAGCTAGGAAGCGAACTCCAGCCTAACTGTGAGGTTACGGTCGATGACAATTCGCACTTTGGGTCCGATATAAACCAGTTAATCGCACAGTGAACTGCTTTTCGCTCATAAACCGTCTGAAAGTTGCTGGTTAAGTCAGCGTTGCTGCGCACAGGATGTGGGGAGAGCGTTAGCGACACGCGAGTCGAGTCACTCCACCGGAGCATCTGTACCCCTCCAAAAAAACTCCCGACTTTTCTGCCTTCTGCCATCGATAAAAGGATAACGTACCTTCTGCAACGTCCGCAGCCTTACTGTCCGCCTGTCCCGCCACAAATTCCTCCACCAGACCGGCCAACTGAGCGCCTTCGGCCGCCATGGCGAGCTAGCGATGCCCGACTCGTGGGCGAATCGGCTCTCTGAATCGATTCTTCACCGTAAGTCGATTGACAAGTTCAGCTGAATCGAAAGTTTTTGAAACGTGTTACGTCATAAAATCCTGTAATAATCTGACAGTTTAGCATAATAACATCTGGAAACACTGCAGAGGTGTCAGAATTTCTCCATGCCGAACGATACCGTGGGTACGGAGACTCTCAGGTGACGTGGTGATTACTGTTTAATAAGGCATGGCCACCAATTACTATATTGAGGCCACAAATTAATACACTGAGGCCACAAATTAATGTAGTGATGCCACGAAGAACTATATTGAGGCCTCTAATTACTACATTGAGGCCACAAAGTACTATATTGAGGCCACCGATTAGTATATTGAGGCTACAAATTACTATATTGAGGCCACAAATTAATATACTGAGGCCACAAATACTATATTGAGGCCAAAAATTGTGATATTAAGTCTACAAATTAATATATTGAGGCCACAAATTACAATATTGAGGCTACAAATTATTATATTGAGGCCACAAATTACTATGTTGAGGCCTCTAATTACTACATTGAGGCCACAGATTAGTATATTGAGGCCACAGATTAGTATATTGAGGCTACAAATTAATATATTAACACCACGAATTACTAATTTGAGGCTACAAATTACTGTATTGAGGCCACAAATAACTATATTGAGGCCATGAATTAATATGTTGAGGCCACAAATTACTATATTGAGGCCGAAAATTGTTATATTGAGGCTACAAATTAATGTATTGAGGCCACAAATTACTATGTTGAGGCACTGAATTACTGTATTCAGGCCATAACAAACTTAAATCGTAGCATCGATATATGAATTTATGGTCACGCTCTATTAAAAATAATCAATAAGTCACCTCAGGGGCTACAAAAAATTAAATTCAGCTTAGTATATCTGTTTTTTTTATCAATACAAACTCCTCATGTATTAGCAAAACACAATGTAAACCTGGTGCTAGCTTAACTGATTAAAAAAATATATTGAAAGTATTGAAAGATGAAGTATTGATTAAACCGCCTCATTTACTCTGATGCTTTGTGAAACAGTGATCAGCTCCTCGCTGTATCTTCCTGTCACAGATGGACTTGGTGAGTTAACTGACTTATGAATTGGTGAATCGGACGTTCGATTCGCTGAAACGGACACTCGAAAAGAATCGGCTCGTCAAACTGAATCGAACTGAACCAGCATTGTGGCGAGCTGCTGAACTCGTCAGAGCGCGCGCATGCGCACGCGGCCGCGCGAGCACGTCACAGTTAACGGACAGCAGCGAGTTAAACTCCGTCCATCAGGAATATTAAACCCCTCCGCAGCTAAAAAAAACCCCGTTTAATGTCTGCATTTCATCTCCAGGCCTTCACAGCGCGGACTTCAATCTACACCCTGCTGATGAAAGACCACTAGAACCACTAGGTTTAAACCTGATGGTGTTGCTTTCTAATGGGAAGTGGCTTAATGGTTACCATTAGAGACCACGAGTTTCCTGTAGACCATTAGAGTCCTTTACACTGTGATATCACTGGTATAATCTACCTGTAACAGTGTAATCTACCTGTAACAGTAACAGTATGATCTACCTGTAACAGTGTAACTGTAACAGTGTAATCTAACTGTAACAGTGTAACTAACAGTGTAATCTACCTGTAACAGTGTAATCTACCTGTAACAGTGTAACTGTAACAGTGTAATCTAACTGTAACAGTGTAACTAACAGTGTAATCTACCTGTAACAGTGTAATCTACCTGTAACAGTAACAGTGTAATCTACCTGTAACAGTGTAACTGTAACAGTGTAATCTACCTGTAACAGTGTAACTGTAACAGTGTAATCTAACTGTAACAGTATAATATACCTGTAACAGTGTAATCTAACTGTAACAGTGTAATCTACCTATAACAGTAACAGTGTAATCTACCTGTAACAGTGTAACTGTAACAGTGTAATCTAACTGTAACAGTGTAATCTACCTGTAACAGTAACAGTGTAATCTACCTGTAACAGTAACAGTGTAATCTACCTGTAACAGTGTAATCTACCTGTAACAGTGTAACTGTAACAGTGTAATATACCTGTAACAGTAACAGTGTAATCTACCTGTAACAGTGTAATCTACCTGTAACAGTGTAACTGTAACAGTGTAATCTACCTGTAACGGTGTAATCTACCTGTAACAGTATAATATACCTGTAACAGTGTAATCTACCTGTAACAGTGTAACAGTAACAGTGTAATCTAACTGTAATGGTGTAATCTAACTGTAACAGTATAATATACCTGTAACAGTGTAATCTAACTGTAACAGTGTAATCTAAATAACAGTATAATATACCTGTAACAGTATAATCTAACTGTAACAGTGTAATCTACCCGTAACAGTGTAACTGTAACAGTGTAATCAAACTGTAACAGTGTAATCTACCTGTAACAGTGCAATCTAACTGTAACAGTGTAATCTACCTGTAACAGTGTAATCTCCTTGTAACAGTGTAATCTACCTGTAACAGTGTAATCTGACTGTAACAGTGTAATCTAACTGTAACACTGTAATCTAACTGTAACAGCGTAATCTACCTGTAACAGTGTAATCAAACTGTAACAGTATAATCTACCTGTAACAGTGTAATCTAACTGTAACAGTGTAATCTACCTGTAACAGTGTAATCTACCTGTAACAGTATAATATACCTGTAACAGTGTAATCTAATTGTAACAGTGTAATCTACCTGTAACAGTGTAATCTACCTGTATCAGTGTAATCAAACTGTAACAGTATAATCTACCTGTAACAGTGTAATCTAACTGTAACAGTATAATCTACCTGTAACAGTGTAATCTAACTGTAACAGTGTAATCTACCTGTAACAGTGTCATCTACCTGTAACAGTATAATCTAACTGTAACAGTATAATCTACCTGTAACAGTGTAATCTACCTGTAACAGTGTAATCTCCTTGTAACCGTGTAATCTACCTGTAACAGTGCAATCTACCTGTAACAGTGTAATCTCCCTGTAACAGTGTAATCTGACTGTAACAGTGTAATCTGACTGTAACAGTGTAATCTAACTGTAACAGCGTAATCTACCTGTAACAGTGTAATCTCCTTGTAACCGTGTAATCTACCTGTAACAGTGTAATCTACCTGTAACAGTGTAATCTCCTTGTAACAGTGTAATCTACCTGTAACAGTGTAATCTGACTGTAACAGTGTAATCTACCTGTAACAGTGTAATCTAACTGTAACAGTGTAATCTGACTGTAACAGTGTAATCAAACTGTAACAGTATAATCTACCTGTAACAGTGTAATCTGACTGTAACAGTGTAATCTGACTGTAACAGTGTAATCTGACTGTAACAGTGTAATCTACCTGTAACAGTGTAATCTCCCTGTAACAGTGTAATCTGACTGTAACAGTGTAATCTACCTGTAACAGTGTAATCTACCTGTAACAGTGTAATCTCCCTGTAACAGTGTAATCTGACTGTAACAGTGGAGAATTATGCAATGGTATTTGGTGCAGCTCAATGAGCGGCAGCTCTGCAAACGGAAACGTGTTGTTGTTGAGAGAGGTCAGTGGAGAATGGTCAGAATGGTTCGAGCTGACAGAAAGGTGACGGGAGCATCAAATCAATACACTGAGGCCACAAACTGCTATGTTGAGGCCCCAAATGAATATACTCAGATCAGGAATTACTATATTGAGGCCACAAATTACTACAATCAGTCCACAAATTTGCTATATTGAGCCCACAAATTAATATTTTGAGGCCACAATTTAGTATGCTGAGACCACAAATACTGAATACACTATTTATTACACTATTTCTCACTATATTTAGTACACTCAACACTATGCTGAAGCCACAAATTACTATATTCAGGACACATTCATATTATGAAACCACAAATGACTATACTGAGCACACAAAATTACTATGTTGAGGTCACAAATTAATATAATGAGGCCACAAACTAATATGTTGAGTCCACAATGTACTACTGAAGCCATGGATTCATATATTGAGGCCACAATTTACTATACTGAGCACACAAATTACTATATGAGAAACTTGACTCGTTGCCTCAATATATTAATTCGTGGCCACCATATGTCTCCTCGGGGCTCCGTCCTGCGTCCAATCGCCGAAGGTTTCTCACGTTTCTGTGTGACGTCGCTTGCTCCGCTCTGCGGCTGCGCGAACAGCCACAGTCGTGTAAAGGGACTCTGACTCTCTGGCAGGCAGAGCGACTCTGACTCGGATTCGGACTCCGAGAGCTCGACAGTGAAAGGTTTGTAAAGGTTCGAGAATAACGCCAGCCCGGCTCGAACACCTACAGAACCAACATGTAGACGCGGCTGTGGTGTTATTGATTAGGTTTGTTTTGTCCGTAGTCCGGCTCCGGGTCGATTTCTGACTGGACTGGCCAACTGGAGCAGGACAGCTAACCGAGCTTTAGCTCTGCTGGCGGACCGAGAGAAGTGGAGAAGCGGACTCGGACTGAGCCGGAGAGCTGGTGAACTATGCTGGCCGGACACTCAGCGAAGAGACGGACCTTCCTGCAGTCGAATCTGTCCGGCAGTTATGCTTCAGGACGTCGTTTTGGCGGAAACGTTTCGGTTTAATTCGCGTAACGTTGACGGTTAACGTAGGTCGACCTAGCTAGGTTAGCTAGCCTAACGTTAGCCTGCCTCGCACCAGAAGTTCAGAAACCGAAACCGAGCTCGGTAAAATAGTCGCGGGAGTGGGTCAGGTTTAAGAACCTCTTATTCCTGCTTCTTTCTGGACTCTAAGAGGGACAAAAGATAGTAAAAAGTTGCTGCTACCGGTTGATTTCGCCCCTGTGAACGTCGGACCCTCCGAGGAACAACACTACTCTACAAGTCTGTACTTGCAGACTCGCAGACTCGGTCTTGCGTACTTGGAGGCTCGCTAACTTCCCTAAAGTGCCTTCTGGGAGGTAAAACCTCCTAATGTCGTCTCAAGGTGAGCCCTGGATGAACTGCTGTAACTTCTACAGTGTTTACTTTACAGTGAAATACTGGTTTGTTGCTTTACAGGGTCACCCTGTGAAAGATGGTGCATTGTTTACAGTGACACACTGAACGACACTTTACAGTCATTTACCAGCAGCAGGGTTACTAGTAAAGTGCTGTAAATTTACAGTAAAGATGTAAAATATTTACTGTGGATATATACTACTTTACTGGCAACCCTGCTAGAAAATTACTGTATTGAGAATTTTATTCTGGCTAATAAATGAATGCATAACAATGAGTTCATAACAATTAATGATTAATCAACAGTAATATTAGTCCCTGATCAGTTCTAACTGTCTAAACAACCAGCACTAAGAATGATCGTCTTTTTTCTCTTTGTAAAAAGGTATTTCTGTAGATGAGTGTTTCTGTTTGCGTGTATTGTATTTTGTATTTGGATTTACTGTGAAAGATGGCATATTTAGAGAGGTGCATTGTTTACAGCAACACACCAAACAGTTTACAGTAATATACTGGCAGTAAAGTGCTGTAAATTTACAGTAAAAATGTAAAATATTTACTGCGAGTATATGCTACTTTACTGGCAACCCTCTGCCAGAAAATTGCTGTGTTTTGGCCAATTAATGAGTTCATAACAATAAATGAATAAGTGACTATTATTATTATTGTTGATTAATCATTTCTAACAGTCTAAACATTTTATTGCCAGCACTGAGAATGATCGTCTGTTTCTGTAGATGAGTGTGTCTGTTTGCATGTTTTGTATTTTGTATTTATATTGTATTTGGATTTACTGTGAAAGATGGCATATTTAGAGAGGTACATTATTTACAGTAACACACCAAACGGCAATTTACAGTAATATACTGGCAGCAGAGTTTGCAGTAAAGTGCTGTAAATTTACAGTAAAAATGTAAAATATTTACTATGAATATACAGTACTTCACGGGCAACCCTGCTGTTAGTAAATTACTGTAAATTATTCTGTATTTTACAGTGTAGCTGAAGGGGGAAAAACGTCACCGCTGCCCTCATTTACCTTACTGAAGCGAAGTTTTTCCTGTTTGGAGCAGCAGCTGTGTGTTGATAGCCGACACAGTTCTGCGCAGAGCTCCAGCTTCCTGGTGTTGGACGTGATCAATCTCCAGTGAAGAATGAGGCTGGGATTTAACTGACAGCCATGGGAGGATGTGTGGGGAGAGAACGGCAGGAGTCCCGCGGACAGGGATCGTCTCGAGGGGGAAGGAATCAGAGAAAACGGGGAGGTAAGACGAGTGATTAGTGCTTAACGAGGGTCTAATTAACTTAAAGGGGAATTCAACTGATTTAAAACTCATATATATATATATATATATAATGTATGTGTGTGTGTGTGTGTGTGTGTGTGTGTATATATATATATATATATATATATATATATATATATATATATATATATATATATATATATGTATGAATGTATATATGTTTATGAAAACATATGTATGTATATGTATGTACACACGTGATTCAATTGGTGAGATGCAAAGAAAGTCATTCAGAGAGTCCTTTACAGCGGTGATGAACCAGAGGTCACAAATATAGGCATTTTATTTACTATCCGAATCCACCGTGAACCCGCACGAGTTTTATATGGAATGTTGATGATGGAAAATAGTGGAAAATCTGAAATAATGTGGATTTTCTGGTCTTCTTGGCCAAAAAACAGGCCTGTTTACAGAAAACAATCATAATGTAAATTGAGAGTAGATGATATGACAAAAATACCACTTTTTTACGATGCACGACAGGCATCATGATATTGAGTTTTTCTAAGATTTAATAATGCCATGTTTTGCAAACTGCGATGCACTAAATCCAATTAAACAGACATAATTATGCCCACTCTGTAATGAAACGTAGTCAGTGTCTTTGAGTACTGACGATATTCACAATATGCTTAGAAAAGCATATTGTGACATCATTTATTGCAATGATGATAAAATATCATATTGTGCACCCCAATTTACATAGCAATCACAGCAATGGCGAGAGAAATCACAATTAGGTATTTTCCCAAAATCGTTCAGCACTACAGAGAAGCACCTTTAAAAGAGGAAATTAGACATAATTCTGTCCAAATACGGCTTATGACGTTGTAACTAATCATTGTGAACGACAGAATTAGCCACCACCCTAATTTCAGCTGCTAAAATTAATAAATTTGCCACAGTCTGACCTTTGGTGCACACACAAAATATCTTTTGACATTAACAACGCACTCCAAATCTGGATATTTAGACCAAAACAGGGAAGTGCACAGGGGTGTACACATTTCACTTACTGCACTGTACAAAATCAAATTAAACAGGACTATTTATGCTCCCTCTTACCGAAACACACATGTGGTACTGATGATATTTACGATACGTTCACAAAAACATTGTTTATCGCTATAACAATAAAACATTATATTGCCCACCTCTAGTTGTGCGCTGCAGTTTCTCATCAGGTTGAATAGGATTTTTAGTGTTCTGTAAAGATAAGATGCTTTATTGTCATTGCACAACAATCCGAATTGTACAATAAATCCTAGTGGTTCATTAACAAAATAACATCAAACGAATAAAAGAAAAATATGAGCTACTATGAAATACAAGATATTAAAAGGAAAAGACTATATAATTTAAAATTATTTAAATTAAAATGATAAAAATCAATAATATATAATTTTATAAGATATTGCACATCTATGGAAGGTAGTGATAAATTTACAAATAGTGCAGTTTAATAAATAAATGCTTGTCCAACCTAGCAACGGTTGCTATGAAAGCTACATATTCGTACACTGTAAAAAAAAATGGTTTGTCATTTCAACCTAAAGGTACTTCATTTGGTAACAAGCAATTAAACTAGTTTTATTCAACTCTAAATGTACTTTGATCTAAAGAGTCATTCATTCAAAGTGTTTATTTAGATTGAATAAAACTGATTCGGTTACAGTGAACCAAAAAGTCAGTTCAGTTAGATGAAGTGTGTTCAGTTCTGGTTCTGGGCTGTTTTTCGCTGCTCAAGCACTGAACCAAACAGCTCAGTGCTGGACTGTAAATCAGTCATCAGTTTAGGAATTTACAACCGACTGTCCACATCGCCTCATAAAATCAAGTTTTTAGGTCATTTGACGTTGTCATGTGCAGAATCGCTCTGTTGAGTTGGGACAACACATATCTGCTTGTTTTGGGCCATGGAGAGTCCAAGCAAGTGTTTCTTTGAGTACCTCCATATTTAAAGGACCCCTATAGTGTAAAAGTGAATTCTTTGCTGTTTTTGAAATATGTAAACATTGATAAAGTTTCAAGATGTAGTGCACTCTGTAAAAATGGCTCATTAGATCAACCTTAAAAGTACTTTGTGTGGTAACGAGTAAATTAACTAGTTTTATTCAGCCTAAAAATACTTTGAATGAACGATTTTTTCAATGTCATTTGAATGAAACTAGTTGCTTAACGTCCTGTTTTTAATTATTTGTTTTTAGGATGTTTCAAATACCAACCCGTTTACATTAATTTAGCTCCGCCTGTTCATACTGAAGTTAAAGGGAGTGTTTCAGCTAAGACCACTTTTTGAATGAGGGCAGCCAATCAGGACAGGGCTCATTTACATACATCAGTCTTAAAGGCACAACAACAAAAACAACCTGTTTAATTCAGAGGGATAAAGAGGGGTTGGATGGTCATGGAAAAATTAATTATGACTGTTTTTGGTACATAAAGTACAACAAAATGTATAATATGAGCCCTTTAATTCCATTAACCCCTCAAACCCCCAGGCTTATGACTTACTTGGGCTTATTCATTAACTACATGGGCTTCAATGCAGAATAGGCTATAGAACTGTGTAGTAAAACTTTGGCCCTGCTGGTGGGCTGTGTCCATTTAAGGGGTTAAAATAGCCTCTAATCCAGGGGTCGGCAACATGCGGCTCTTTTACTGCCCTGTTGTGGCTCCACAGCTGAATCAGATTTGTAGGTAAAAATAAAATAATCCTCCTTTACAGTAAAATAAAGCTCTGCTGATCGTTCAACACAGTTTAACAATAAATGGTCTTAAACTCTGGAGTTAATGTAGAACTGCTAATTCACCCTTTAACCCTGAAGATCAGCGCAGACTGCTGGTCACCGTAGCAACACAGACAACAGTCTCGCCTAGCTAGTAGCTAACGAAACGGCAAAGAGAGAGATTTAAGATGAACATCGATAATTTGGAGACAAACTGACTTATTAGTGTTTATAATCACTCCAGCTGGTTTCCTGATACGTTTAATCTGCAACAAGAAACTGAAACACTAAAAAGTCGCAAAGCTGAAGTTTCTCGTTTGTATTCTCCCGTTCCACCTTAAATGGTGCAGCAGTTATATTCTGGTGTCTCAAGCACCGTTTAAGGTGGAACGGGTAAATTCAAACAAGAAACTGGAGAATGAGAAGCGACTTCAGCCTCATAAGAAAAAACTTTCCTGCTGGAGATGCGAGAAAAGCGGCTATAGCTGAGCTAAAGCTTAAAGCAGAGCAAAGTAAGTCTGTGTTTTCGCTTATATTATATTTTTAGCCTATACTACAGGGAGATTCACTGGAAAGAGGCCCTGAATATTTTGCTGTAACTCCCGTTAGGATGAAGCAATCTGAACCAAAAAAATGCACTACATACCTTGACGTATGTGTAATTGATTACATTACATGCGATGCTGGAAGTGATCTCCGTTTTCGGCCAGACATATGAAGGGGTACGGGGGTCTGCACCCGGAAGTTGCAAAAAGAGTTAAATGTGGCGACAGCTGTCCGGCGCCGACCTCATGGCTCGACGCAGGGGCGTCCCGGCTTGTTCAAAGCCTCATATACTGAGGAGCTCATTGCACCTTGTTTCATTCAGATTGATTCGTCCTAGAGAGAGTTATTACATGATATTCGGGGCCTCTTTCGAGTGAATCTCCCTATAGTACATCAGCAATTACTGAGACATATTCACAGCCAAGAAGGTAAAATGGACATAAAACGTTGTGGCTCCCAAGGTGTTTTGATTCTTATTGAAAGGACAAAATGGCTCTTCTTAACATTTGGGTTGCGACCCCTGATCTAAACAGATATATTGACCGTCTGTGATGCACTAATTTGGCTCCTCTGCTCTAGTTTATGAACCTTTGTAAGGTCAGAGTTTATATACACCGGGGGACGTCCTCAGTTTGTGAAGCCCCAGTGCATTATTCATGCAAATGTAACAGCCCCCTCACTTTATGTATGTTGCTCAGCCTGAATTATCACTGAAATTTCATTGAGCGTTTCCTTAATGACAGTAATAAAGCTGATCTGTTTGGGTACAGCTGTATATCGAGGCCATTCTCATTGGAGTCAGCAGGGTAACGGGCCAAACTTGCGAACTTGTTGCCTTTCGGCAAAGCATGCAAATAGTTGCATGTTGGGAGTTGTGTTACACAAAGCAATTCAGAAGAAATCAATCAGTCAATCAATCAATCAACCTTTATTTAACCTTGGAGAACATTGAGGGTGAACCTCAATAAACAGTGTTGCTGAGTAAATACAGTGAAAAGGGATTCGTTGTAAACATACCAAATAATAACAGTAAATTTAATAATAAAATGTCTCAAATCAGGTAAGTATAAAAATGAAACATCAATAATAAAAATACATAAACTGTAGAAAATATAAAAAATAATTAAAGCTTAACTAAAATGTTAAAGTTAATAAAATCAAAAAGGAAACTAAAATGAATTAAAATGACTGAAATAATAATAAAAATCATAATTAAAACAAGAATAAGAATAAATAAACAAAAAATAAATGGGGAAAAATAAAATAAAACAGCTAAAAAAATGAAAATAAGACAATAATAGTAAAAAACAGGTAGAACAGTGTGAGGCAGAGTGGAGGTGGTTATAGAGTAAGAGTTTAAAATGACTGAGTGACCCAGCGAGCCGAGCTGTAGTGGTTCCTGTAGTGAGGGTCCAGCTCACTGATGCTGGAACTAAAGGCAGATTTTTCCAGTTCAGTTAAAAACTCTCGGTACCTGTCATGTGATCCAACCACTGGAGTGAGTCTGATAATTACCATTATCATTAGCAGAAATCAGAGTTGCAGGATTACTCCACAGCTCCAGCTTGTGTATTTTGATAGGCCTGCATTGCTGCCTTATCGCTGAATAAAGTCATCTGTGACATTTTTTGCATATTTGTGACGATTTTTGGTATTTTTTTCCAGCTGTGATCGCTGTTGTTG